TCCAAAGATCAGGGGCTAAAATGCAAATTTCGATTTCTGATTTGGGAGAAAAAAGGCCATCGGGCCGTCATTTTTATTTATTTGGGCCGGATACTACCTAAGCCCAACCGAAACCCAAAAGAAACGAGCAGGCCAGCCCGTCTTTTTATCCCTCAAGCCCAACCAAAAAAAGAAGCATGGGTCTGTCCTTCTAACGCAACCGAAATTAAGAAACAAGCCCACTAAAAAAAATAGCCCAACCCACTTTCCTTTTTTTTTTTTCTTTTCTTTCCTTTCTTTTCTTTTTCTTCTTTTCTTTTCTTTCTTTCTTCTTCCTCCACTTCCAGCCGTTTCCTTCCCTTCTTCTTCGGCTAGCCGAAGAAGCTTCAGCTGGCGGCCATAGCAGCCGCCGGCGGCACCACCGCCGGATTGTCGGTCGCTAAAATTTCTCAAAATACACCTCCTTACTTCAATTTTCGTGTAGATTCCATTTCCGGATTTAGTTTTTACAAAATATGATCTGAAAGTGGCCAAAATATCAAAATACATTCCAGTTTTTATTTCTTTAAAACACCCAAATCTTCACCAAAAAATATAAAATTTATACTATAACACTCCTTGTGATTTTTACAACCTAACTATCAACTAACATCAATGAAAGTAACAATAGATATGACAAAAATTAAACCAAAACAGTCCAAAAAATAATAAAAATCCTTCAAAACTTTTAACACTCAAAACTCCAAAAATTTTTGAATGACCACACCTTTTCAGACCTACACTAGCAAACGGTCACCTATTTGACAAGAAAACATGTACAATGTTAAGCTTTTTAATTCGTTTGTCATTTTGGCATTTTTTCAAACGGTTAATATGCATGCATGAGAAACATTTCCTTTTCCTTCATCTAGTTCATGCCATTTCCCAATTTTCAGCAATGCAACAACAACAATACAAGGCAGCCAGCAGAAATGAAAGAAAACTAAACAATGAAGCATTGATTTAATGTGCTAGACAAAAACTGAAAATTACCTCAATGTAGGTGTGTGTGAGGTTGAGATGGAACTGAGAGGGGTTGGGGAAGATTTTTTTTTCTTCTCTGTTTCTTTCCTCCGCCCAAGTCCGAGAGAGGGAGAGTGAGGAGTCAGGCTGCAAAATTCCGAGAGCTTCCCTTCCTCTTCTCTCGTGCGTTTCCTCCTCTTGTTTTTTTTCTGCCTCAGCCAAGTGAGCCCAGAGGGATTGGAGTGCTTTTTTTTTTTTTTTCTTTTTGTGGCTTGTCTTCTCTGTGAGAGAGAGCCGAGTGAAGAGTGAATTTGTAGCCAACGTAGAGCTTTGTGTGTTTGTTTGGTCAAAAATGATTATTTTTACCAGATGACAAGAAAGATCAAGGAAGTTGAGTGTAGGAATGGGTTAAGTGTTTTTTGGTAGGGAAAATGATGAAAATGTGTAAGCTTTGTAATAATTTGATTTTGATTTGATTTTTGATTTTTTTATTTTTTTATTTTTTTTGTTTTTTAACTTTTCTCTTTTTTTTGTTTGTTTTTGTTTTTTTTTCCTTTTTTTTTCTAAAATAAACTTGCAAAAATGAAAAAAGTACACATTAATAATAATAATAATAATAATAATAGATAACTTATTAAATAGATAAAAATTCAAGAAAACATTAAAAATTGACAAAAATTTGGTATTTACAACTTGTCCCTCTTTGTCTAGAGTTTCAAAAAAACTCAAGACAAAGACGTAGACACCAAATTATTTACCTGTCTCTCCTAACTGTACCTGAGCCAAAATAAACAAGCCAATACTTGGCTGAAATTATTGGACAAAATGATGCAATAATATTGCAGAAAATGTGACCGAACCCATGTAGAGTTGCCTACGTATCCCACTATGGGAATCAGGTCAAACGCAGTTCGAATGCAAGTGAACCACAATGAAACAAGTGCATTGACCAACTGTGATATTTGCAAAGTCGAAAAAGTCTGAGCTCTTAGAACTTCACAAAATGAATGAGAAAGCACAATTATTAATCAAAACAGTTAAGAAAAGTAACTTATCATAATTAGAAAAAGATGCGTGGAGGAACGCGGTTACACTCCAAGAAGGGGGATAGAAGGGTGCGCGATGGACGCTGAGACTCACTAACAGAAAATTAAATTTGTCTTTTAGAAAAAGATGCGCGGAGGGACTCGATTACGCTCCAACAGAAAATTAAATTGTCAACAATGAGAGATAGAAGGGTGCGCGGTGGATACTGAGACTCACCAACAGAAATTTAAATTGTCAAGAAGGGGGGGTAGAAGGGTGCGCGGTGGACGCTGAGACTCACTAACAGAAAATTAAATTTGTCTTTTAGAAAAAGATGTGCGGAGGGACGCGATTACGCTCCAACAGGAAATTAAATTGTCAACAATGAGAGATAGAAGGGTGCGCGGTGGATGTTGAGACTCACCAACAGAAATTTAAATTGTCAAGAAGGGGAGGTAGAAGGGTGCGCGGTGGACGCTGAGACTCACCAATAGAAAATTAAATTGATCTTTTTAGAAAAAGATGCGTGGATGGACGCGATTACGCTCTAACAGGAAATTAAATTGTCAAGAAAGGGAGATAGAATGGTACGCGGTGGACGCTGAAACTCACCAACAGAAATTTAAATTGTCAAGAAGAGGAGGTAGAAGGGTGCGCGGTGGACGCTGAGACTCACCAACAGGAATTTAAATTGTCAAGAATGGGAGGTAGAAGGGTGCGCGGTCGACGCTGAGACTCACTAACAGAAAATTAAATTTGATCTTTTTAGAAAAAGATGCGCGGAGGGACGCGATTACGCTCCAACAGGAAATTAAATTGTCAAGAAGGGGAGATAGAAGGGTATGCGGTGGACGCTGAGACTCACCAACAGAAATTTAAATTGTCAAGAAGAGGAGGTAGAAGGGTGCGCAGTGGACGCTGAGACTCACCAACAGAAATTTAAATTTGATCTTCTGATCTGTCAAGAAAGGGAGATAGAAGGGTGCGCGGTGGACGCTGAAACTCACCAACAGGAATTTAAATTGTCAAGAAGGGGGGTAGAAGGGTGCGCGGTGGACGCTGAGATTCACCAACATTTGATCTTCTTGATTGATTTTTTTAAAAAAAAACAGATTGGTGGGATTGACCCGATCCCAATTAAACACTGAAAGAAATGAAAATGCAAGTTCAATACCATCCAACTGAAAGATCAAAATGCATGTTGCTCAAGTAGTAATAAATCAAGACAAACTTACTTGGTGGACTTACGACTTTCTTGATTGATGATTTTTTTTAATTTTAAAAGAAAGGGAATAATGATTTTTGTTTCTTTCTTTGGGGATGTACAGCAAAACTTGCCATTTGCCCCAGTGTGAATCATGCTCAACTAAACCAGTAGTGTGTCACATAATCTTCCTGTAAAAAGGAAAAAAGGAAAAGAAGCAACTATGATGAAAAGACTGCCACCACCACGTGATCCATTTGCCTTGAGAACCATGTAAACATGATTTTCAATATCAACCAATCGCTCCCTTAGGTTCAGCCGACAACCCTTCAGAATCTTTGCAACTGTCAAATGTGAATTGTCCGTACTTTAGTATCATAGGACCTTAAATTTCATGACTCTTTAGAGATAAATTATAAGGGGATTGTCTTTTGAATGAGACCCAAAAAAAATGAAAAATACAAACAATTAAAAAAAAGTAGTATTCATCATACAATAATGCTAATATGAAATAAACAATGATACACAATAAATAAATGAAATAGAAAATAGAATAGTAAAACAAAATTGTTGAATTTTTGAATATAGGCCCAAGGATCCAAATTTGGATTCGTATTTAGAGGATGGCCTTTGATGAGGAAAAATGCTCCATCTGACCCTTTCGTAGTCATCCATTTTGGAATTCATTGTCTGCAAAAGAACAGCAGTATGAAAGAGACCCAAATCAACATAGTCACCAGCTTTTAGACCTCAACATCTTCTTCTCTGTTACTGATTATCTTGTACTCCAAGACCCTACCTCAGCGCCCTTTCGGGTTTTCACTAAGGTTACCCCTACCCTTTTCATAATTTTTTTTTCTTCTTGTTTTGTTTTTCTCTTTTTTCTTTTCTTTTCTTTTTCTTTTTCTTTTTTTTCGTTTTTCGTTTTTCTTTTTTTTCTCTTTTTTTTGATTTTTTTTAGAAGGTACTCTTTCAGGTTTTCACCTAGAGACATAGACAAGACAATTTTAACCCCAACTGTATCACTGCAGTCATGCTCTGATAATGAGTTGCATCAGTGAGACAATCTTCTCTGACATGTTTCAGACAAGTTTGTATTTGCATCATTTGTTAGTTGATTAAGAAAAATTTTTTCCAAAATACTGCAGAAGATGAAATTCAGCAAAGGAAAGGTTAAAGCTTGAAAGGCTTGACAGCGGATCATATGATGGGTTTGCAATCATTTGAGATAGCATTCTTTCAAAACTTACCCCGATCTAGGATGAGAAAGAGGTAAAATTTGCCCCAGTTCTATTTTCTTTTTTTTCTCTATTTTCTTTTTTTTTTCTTTTCTTCTTCTGTTTTTTTTTTAGAAACAAATTGCTCCAGTATGGGGTTAGTGATCTTAAGGGACAGCCAAGCGAAAAGGAAAATGGTTATGAAAAGTCAAAAGGAAAGAAGAAAATTTAGGGATAGAATATCGAAATGGAAAAATGAGAGGAAGTATGTCTGAAATCCGTCTCTTGCAATATTTTAAAATTTTTTTTTTTATAATCAAATGAAAAATTTTTTGCACATGTCTGCATTAATTGGTTGGGGAAAAACTTGACCGTCTATTTCCATAAGAATAAGCGCTCCTCCGGATAGCACTTTTTTAACAATGAATGATCCTTACCAATTGGGAATAAACTTCCCTTTAGTCTCATCTTGCATTGGAAGAATCCGTTTCAAAACCTTATCTATCTCCAACGTCAAACAAACGGGGCTTGACTTTTTTGTTGTAAGCCCAAGCCATTCGTTGCTGATAACATTATCCATGGCAAACAGCATTCAACCTTTTTTCATCAATGAGAGACAACTGCTCCTGACGTTCTCGGACCCATTCAGCTTCTTCTATCTGAGCCTCCATTAGAATGCGTAAGGAAGGAATTTCAACTTCTGCAGGCAGTACTGCTTCCATTCCATACATAAGAGAGTAAGGAGTTGTCCTTGTAGAAGTTCTGATTGTAGTTCTGTACGCCATCAGTGCATAAGGCAGTTTCTCATGCCAATCCAGGTGTGCTTCAGTCATCTTACGAATAATCTTTTTCAAATTCTTATTTGCGGCTTCGACGGCTCCATTCATCTGAGGCCTGTAAATGGCAGAATTTCGATGTCTGACCTTGAACATTGTTGAGGTTTTTGGCATTATCGGTGATCAACGTCTCTGGTACCCAAAAACGACAGATGCTATTATTTTTCAAGAAATCCGACACCACTTTCTTAGTCACATGCTTATAGGACGTAGACTCAACCCATTTGGTGAAATATTTAATCGCCACTAAGATGAATCGATGCCCATTTGAAGCAGGGGGATCAATAGTTCCGATCACATCCATTCCCCAGATTGAACATGGCCATGGAGTAGTCATACTATACAATTCTGTAAGAGGAGCACGTATAACATCACCATACATTTGACACTTAACACACTTTCTAACAAAATCTACACAGTCATGTTCCATGGTAAGCCAAAAATATCTTGTTCTCATGATTTTCTTAGCCAGTAGATGTCCATTCATGTGTGGTCCACAAATCCCACTATGCACTTCTTTCATCATATAATCGGCTTCCTCTTCATTGATGCATCTCAGAAGGCCCAAATAAGATGTTTTCTTGTATAGTATTTCTCCATTCAAGAAAAATCTTGCTGACATTCTGCGTAAGAAACTTTTTGCAACAGAATCAGTATCAGGAGGGTAGGATCCCGTTTTCATGAATTCCTTAATATCATTGTACCATGAGCGACCATCAGTGACCCTTTCCGTAATTAGACAATGCGCTGGCCTATTCTAAAGTTGAATCTGTATAGGTTCAATCACCAGTTCATCGGGATGTTGGATCATCGAAGACAGAGTAGCTAAAGCATCAACAAATGCATTACGAGTGCGGGGAATATGTCTGAGTTCCAAATTCCTGAATTTGCTGGCCAAACTAAGCAAGTTACAATGATACAACATAATTTTTGAATCCCGAGTTACCCACTGCTTAAGCGTCTGGTGCGCAAGTAAATCAGAATCACTGAATGCTATCAGGTCCTTAATCTCCATGTCCAATGCCATTTTCAATCCAAAAATACAAGCTTCATACTCAGCCATGTTGTTGGTATAAGGAAACTGTAATTTGGCGGTAGCAAAATAATGTTTCCCTTCAGGCGACACTAAAACTGCTCCAATTCCAGCTCCAAAAGAATTTGCCGCACCATCGAAAAATAACCTCCATCCAAGATACTGCTTACTCATATTCTCAACTGCTCCAACGAATAGAATTTCTTCATCAGGAAAGTAGGTATGCAATGGTTGGTAATCATCATCTCTTGGATTTTCTGCCAAATGATCTACTATAACTTGACCATTGATTGCCTTTTGTGTTGTGAAGACAAAGTCGAACTCGGAAAGGATCATTTGCCACTTAATCATACGTCTAGTGGGCATCGACTTTTCCAATAGGTATTTTAGAGGATCAGAACAGGAAATTAAGTAAGTGGTATAACCGAGCAAATAATGTCTCAACTTCTGAGCTGCCCATGCTAAAGCACAACAACTTCTCTCAAGGAAAGAATAGTAGGCTTCATATGCTGTAAATTTCTTGCTCAGATAGTAGATGGCTTGCTCCTTTCTCCCAGACTCGTCATGCTGTCCCAGAACGCATCCGACAGCCTCATCAAGAACAGACAAATACATAATCAGAGGTCTCCCTGGCTGAGGTGACACTAAGACCGGAGCATTTAACAAATAATTCTTGATCTTATCAAAAGCTTGCTGACACTCTTCATTCTACTCCATCGGCGCATTCTTTTTCAACAGTTTGAATAAAGACTCACAGGTAGAAGTTAACTGTGCAATGAATCGGCAAATGAAATTGATTTTTCTAAGAAAACTCTTCACATTTTTTTGACTTTTGGGAATGGGCATATCTCGAATTGCTTTTATTTTTGCAGGATCTATCTCTATACCCTTTTTGCTGACAATAAAATCCAATAACTTACCAGCCGGAGCTCCAAAAGCATATTTCGCGGGGTTCAACTTCAAATTATACTTCCTCAATCTTTCAAACAGCTTCTTTAAATCAACCAAATGGTCCTCAACCTTCCTGGATTTAATTATGATATCATCCACATAAGCCTCCATCTCTTTGTGAATCATGTCATGGAACAGGATAGTTATGGTCCTCTGATAAGTGGCTCCAACATTCTTCAATCCGAAAGGCATCACTCTATAACAAAAGATTCCCCATGGGGTGATAAAAGAGGTTTTTTCTCTGTCTTCTTCTGCCATTAAGATTTGATAATACCCAACAAAACAATCACCAAAAGATTCAATTTCGTGTCCAGCAGTATTGTCCAAAAGAATATGAATGTTTGGCAAAGAAAAATCTTCTTTCGGACTGGCCTTATTCAGATCTCTGTAATCAACACATACTCGCACCTCCCCAGATTTCTTAGGCACTGGCACAGGATTGGATAGTCAGATGGGATAATGAGACACCATGATTATCTTAACATAGAGCTGTTTCACAATTTGCTCCTTTATTTTGAGACTCATTTCTGGTTTGAATTTACATGGCTTCTGCTTTACAAGTAAAAAATTTGGGTCAGTTGGCAACCTGTGAATCACTATGTCTGTAGAGATCCCTGGCATATCATCGTATGACCATGCAAACACATCTTGAAAAAATATTAAGAATTCAATCATTTCCTCCTTCTATTTCTTATTCAAATGAATGCTGACTTTAACTTCTTTAACCTCCGTCTTAGTGCCAATATTGAAGATTTCTGTTTCTTCTAAATTGGGTTTGGGTTTCTCTTCATACTGTTTTAAATCCCTTGAAATAGACTCAAATTCTTCCTCAGTATCGCTCTCGCTTTGAATTTCAGATTGCATGATTTCAAGTTCATGAGAGATATCGAGATTGCATCCATAGAATTCCAAAATGGTGACATCCAAAGGGTCAAAGGATTTTATTTGTGGCCATCTGAAAATAGAATAAAACATAAGTAATAAATAAATAGCAAATACTGGTGAAGTCTTTCATTTCATTAAATTCAAAATGCATCGAGACTTCACAAAAAGATAAATATACAGATATAATTGCTATTTAAAGACATATTTAACTCAAACATTTATTTTCGTTTCAGCAATTTTCTTGAACAAAGCAAGTTATATTAACTGAAACAAGAATAAAGGTTTAAAAGATGAAAGTAATTTCTTTTAACAAAAGATCCAGACTACTGTCCTATCTGGATATGATCTAGACAAAAGACAATCCCCTTAAATTTACTGAAATTCCCTTCGAGAGGGAAAGTAATCAGCAGTCCAATTTTGAATAGCTCCTTCGGTAATTGGCAAAAATTCTGCATTCTCTGATGGCCCCTCCTCACAAGTAGCCCCGACAAATAGCTGAGACAGGTCCACTTCAATCTCCTCCACAGGATTCTTCATTTCTGGCATAATCACCTCTGATGAACGAGGAAAAGTGTGATATAGTGGAGGGATATTTAAGGCAGTTTGCTTGCCCTTCTTTTCAGCTTGTTTTCGAACTTGCATTTCCTTTCTTTCCTTAGCAGTTGGATGAAATCCCAGTCCAAATGTATCCTTTTGCATCGGGATCTCTATCGGCTCCAAAATTCCTTGCAATTCTCGCCCAAGACCTCTTCCTATTTCATATTCGCCTCGGATCATCTCTCTCGCCATCATAATACTGGCATCTGGCAAATCTGATTGAATCAGCGACTTATCCCTGGATGCCCATCCCACAGAGACGATGTCAGCAACATGATAAGACGAAATTGGAGTCCTTTTTCTATTTTCACCATTAAACTTTGCATCAACGATCATGGTACAGTCATCCTTGGCAAACACAGTAATGAGTTGATCATTCGCAATAAACCTCAACATTTGATGCAGAGAAGATGGCACTGAATTGAAAGCATGTATCCAAGGTCTTCCAAGTAAAATATTGTAAACGCTGGAGAAGTCAATAACTTGGCAAGTAACTTGGAATTGAGCAGGGCTTATCTCCAATACCAGATCTGCTTCACCCATAGATTCCCTCCTTGAACCACAGTTGCAGATGGACGGAGTTTAATATCAAGAAATCCAAGCTTGGTAAGAGTGTTCTATGGACAGATATTCAACGCTGACCCATTATCCACTAAAACCCTCGGCAACAGCTTTCCATTGCAACGGACTGATATATACAAAACTCTGTTATGCCCGATCCCTTCTGCAGTCAGATCATCATCGGAGAAGGCAATATGATTAGCAGCAAGTACATTCCCCACAATGTTAGAAAATTTATCCACTGGGATATCTTTAAGGACTTGGGCTTCGTTCAAGATTTTGAGCAATGCTTCTCTATGTAATTCGGAGGTTAAGAGAAGATTCAAAAAAGAGATCTGAGCAGGCATCCCATTCAACTGCTCCACTATTTTGTGCTCGCTTCTTTTCAGCATCTTTAGAAAATCCACCGCTTCCTTTTCAGACACAAGAGACTTGGGCGTCAGGGATTTAATCTTGGCTCTGAATTGAACGCCGATTTCGGAGTTTTTCGCAGCTTTTTCAGACCTGACAATAGTAGATACCTCCTCCTTCAAGCATTTTTCATCTCCAATTAACAGACTAGATACCTCGTAATTCCATGGTACATCTTGCAAGTTATTGACAGGCATTTGTTCCGAAAATTCGAGAATAACAGACTCTGATATATCCCATTCAAAAGATGATAGCTCCAGAATAAAAGGAACTTTGTCAACTTCGGAAGGCCCTCCTTCTATTATAAATGGCTCCACAAAAGATTTCAAATTTTCCTCGACATTATCCTTAGTCATGGACTTTTCAACAGGCGACAGTTTTCTCATTCTCGCATGGTCAGCCTCCATCACGCCAAACACTTCAGTTCCATCTAAAATGTACTGAGTGGGATAGACAAAATCTTCATCAGCGATGATAACTCCCACAGTGTTCCCATGCTCAGGTAAATGATTCTTACTAACATTCAGTCCCTACTCTCCCTTTCTTCTGAGAAGGATTTCTCCAGAGTCAATCATATCCTGAATCTTATGTTTTAAACCCCAACAATTGCCAGTGGTATGACCTGGACTTCCAGAATGATAAGCACAGATTGCATGCGGATCATAACGATAGAAAGACCTCTGGGATAGATTTTGAGATGAACAGTGCCAATTTTTCCAGCTGCTTTTAATTGCTCATACAACTGATCAATAGGTCGGCCCAAGTTGGTGAAGGTTCGAAATTGCTTCTGAGTTTGAATTCCACTGGTTTGCAAAGGATTTTGAGAAGGGTTATTGTTTTGCAGGGTTGGTCTGGAATGGTAAATGGGATGAGAGTGATTTTGAAAGACAGGTTGTGGAGTTGGAGGTAAGGGCAAGGTATTCAAATGATTTGATCGAGAATGATGAAATTGGATAGTAGTGTGGTAGACTGGTTGAGAATTGGTGTAATACGAGTAAGGGAAAGAATAGGTGGGATGATTTTGGGGTCTGAAAGATGGGCCCTGATCCCATATAAAAGCAGTATCACCTTCTTTCTTCTTGAATTGGGGCTTTTTTCCATTGCTGTTTTGATTTTGTAGAGCATCCAATTACAACTTTAATGCAGACACATTAACAATCTTCCCCGCTTTGACAAATTCATCATACTCCTCCAATTTGTTAATGATAGCAGCAAATGAACTTCCCGTCATGCGGAAGATCTCTTCAAAATAGGATGGATCGTAAGCCTTGATGAAAGTGCGAACAATCTCCTCCTCAGTCATAGGAGGCTCCACTTTGGCAGCTAACTTTCTCTACCGTTTTGCGTAAGTCTTGTGATCTTCCGACGGCTTTCTTTTCGTACCCTCCAGTGTGGTTCGTGTTGGTGCCAATTCACAATTAAACTCATATTACTTCACAAAGGCTGTTGACAAATCCAACCAGGTTTTGACCTCTTCAGACTTCAAATTTGAATACCAATCTAAAGCATCTCCCTCCAAACTTTCTGGAAGTAGACGCATAGGCAAATTCTCGTCATCCACGGATTTACCTAACTTGTTGGCAAACATCTTGAGATGCGTCTTAGGATTTCCAGTTCCATTATACTTGCTAAATTTAGGGGTTTTGAATCCCAACGGTAGCTGAATATCTGGGAAAAGACACAATTCATCATAGTCCAAACCACCATGCCTGCTCAACCCTTGATTTTTTTTCATAAAGTCATCGAATCGATCCAACCTTCTTAACAGATCTTTATCAATGGGTGTAGGTTGTTCTTCCATCGCCGCCTTCCCTTGAGATGCAGTATCCAGTACAAAAGGCTCTGTAAGGTGGTGGTGAGGTCCCTGAGGGTTGGGGGGAACGTTCAGATTGGTTTGTGGATGGGTTTGAGGGATTTCACTACTGGTTGGGTTCACCAATACATAATTTGGATGCATATAGGAAAAGTCTGAATTTAGTCGGGTAAAGGTATTTTCAAGAGGATTAGCGAAAGGAGGAGGAAAAGGTATTTGAGTATTGGATGTGTGGGGTGGTTGATAGTCTTGTGTAGGTGGGTGATTATCGATAGGTTCTTGGTCGTTGAGGACACCACCACCACTGTTGCTTGCGACCAACTGATCAATTACACGCCTTTGTACGGTCATTTCAGCACTTAACTCATTGAACTTGCCAAGTACCTCACTTAACTGAGCTCCCAATGCTGTGAAGTCCGGCGACGTTACTATAGCAGATTTTTCCGAAGTTTCTGGTACTGATACAGACTGTCTCAAGGCTCTACTTCGGGACCTGGTAATGATGGGGTTTCTTTGGGTAACTATTGTAAAAAAATACCTGATAGTGGAGAAAAGAAACTGATTTAGGAGTGGATTTTCTGTCAAATTGCTGTAATTTATTCAAGAAAAAGGAAAAAAATGAGTTAGTAGATATTTAAATAATTCGGATGCATGTCCTATGAAGGAGCCCTTTTTGTGCCAAGGGTCGGCATAATATGATGCAACACCTTCGGGGTAAAATCCCAATTTCAAACCTGTAAGTGAATGTAGAAATTCAAGTAGAAATTCTCATTAACCACTGACAAATTCAATCATTTTGTATAGCTTCATTGATGGTTCGACTGACTATTTTTACAAAATCCTCATGCCTTGCTAAACTAGTACGTTGAGACTCTCTTGAACTTCCTATACTAAGCTTTCGAATTCCTTCTCGAATTTTGTCAAATGCATCCAGGGCTCTCTCCAACTTTTCAGTTTTTCTCGTCTCTCGCTTTAATTGTGCTCGGGCGTCTTCCAGGGCATGGTCGGCCACTATAAGTTGTAATTGATAATCATCGAGCTCTTTCTTTAGCTTATCTATCTATTCTTCAGGGCTAGCGGAAGCAGACTGTGATTTCTCTCTTGCTTGTTCGACTGTCAGTTTGATCCACTCATTATATTCTGAAATGACCTTAGGTTCCAATTTGTTGACTTGATTCAAGTGCAAGTTCTCTAAACTAAGAAGATTTCCCCAAGCTTCCAATACTATGCTCCTACTTTCAGCAACTGTGTTTAGTCTGATATTTTCAATCCCTTGTATCATCGGAATTCTTTGCGGATACCCAAATTGCCTCATGACTCGTTGCGGAACATATGCGACCAATCCATTGGTGCC